CACACACACACACACACACACACACACACACACACACACACACACACACACCTACACGCACATTCACACACATGCTCACGCACGCCCTCGGAACTGAACAATTAATCCTTTTTAAATATTTAAATGGTGCATGAATATCCAGCAGCTTCGGAATCAATGCTATTTACCCTTTGGATTTGGTTTGTTCTACTTTCGTTTACTTTTGTTATGTTATATTTTGGGTCTTTTTTTAGGAGGGGGAATTCTTTCCCTGCTTGACTCAAGTAGATACATAATATTATATAGTTTTGTTTTGTTTGATGTTGGGTTTTTTTTAATGGCCATTCTTTCAATATAAAAGACGGAATATTATGACGTCCAAGTGGTAAGAGAAAATTAAAGAGGTTGTAAATAATAGGTCTACTATTCGTAACCTCCATGGAGTAAAGTAGAAAAATATTCTTGTAAATTTGACAAATATAATGGAGCCTAATTCTCCATAAATACAATGTACGTTGTCACGTAGGCCTAGTGCCTATTTTGCGGACGTCGTTATTATTATTGTTGTTGTCGTTGTTGTTGTTGTTGTCGTCGTCGTCGTCGTCGTCGTCGTCATGATGATGATGATCATCGTCATCATCATCACCATCATCATCATCATCATCATTATCATCATCATCATTACACACACTCGTATGCATAGCTAGCAGTAAATTAATTTATGATTAAATACCTTGATTAAGTTAAGTACTTATTCAATAGATTTGTTTTCTGTCGTTGATACCAACAGGATCCATGATTTATTTTATAAAGGCCATCAGCCTTTACAGGACAATTGTAAATACAGCTATTTTGATTTTAAACAGGTTATCATTTTTAGATTGTTATTGTACCTAAGTTTTAAAAATCCGATCGACCCGAGCGCCCGAGCCAAGCCGTGCAGTGAACTGTTGTGAATGCAACCAACGTCGTGCGCTCATATGACCTAATTTTATATTTCGCTTTTGTGGTTGTACACTCTAAAATTTTAAAGGTGTGGGAACAGTGCGAACGGCTAGTGAACGGAAACCTCATTTGTTTACAATTGCGTAGAAGACGGACTTTTGTGGACGAAACAAAGCATTTTGGAAAAATCGAGGAAAGCAGTTTGCGTAGATTTTTTTAAAGTTAGATCCTAGCCACGTGGATGTTGTGGGCGCCAGCAAAGTTTCAAAGGTGTGGGTTAGGTAATAAGGGAGGCGTTTGTGCACAAAGCCTCCCACGTCCACTTTTATATATAGAATATATATAATGTTATTATATAGATCTACATAAATATAATAATAAGAGCATTTGTATCCCGCTTTTCTCCATAAAATATATATATAATACACACACACACACATCCACACACACACACACACACACACACATACACACACATACACACACATACACACGCACGTGTGCGCGCACAGAGAGAGAGAATGTGCGTGTGTGTGTGTGTGTGTGTGTGTGAGAGAGAGAGAGAGAGAGAGAGAGAGAGAGAGAGAGAGAGAGAGAGAGAGAGAGAGAGAGAGAGAGAGAGAGAGAGAGAGAGAGAGAGAGAGAGAGAGAGAGAAGCAGGGACAGAAGGGGAAAATTCTAATTTTACAGCGCTTAGAGCCATCAAGGAAAGGCTATATAAATGTCCATACTTATCATTGGTAGTAGTAACTGTAGTAGTAGTAGTAGTAGTAGTAGTAGTAGTAGTAGTAGTAGTAGTAGTAGTATAATCATTGTTTAATTTATTAACGTACAAATGTATTATTGTTCAAAGAAAAGAAGAGAAACGCTACAAGGGACATGACTCGACTCCGGTATATTTATACCTTTAAACATGTGTTACTTCCCCTATAATTAAAGAAGGGGAGGTCACGCTAAAGTTGAAATTCTACATCCGGGCATTTGCCTTCCATGTTGACCGGCCAAGAACGAAGGGCAAAATGTTGTCAGCTTTCAGAACAGGTTAGGTTTGTTGTTATGATTTTTATTGCGTTGTGCGCTTATTTACAGCTAACTGCAGTTTTTTATTACAAGTACATCTCCATTTTTTTCTCAACAAATGCTACATTTACGCCTTTATTCTCTTCTTTTCGCTTTTCTGAGTAAACTTATCGGAGTCCTCTGTGTGACACTGAGATTATTGCACTCTCTTCTCTGCAAGGTTTTACCTGGTCTACTCTGACTCTGTACTGCCTGTACTGTTGGTCTCTTTGGACAATGACACGTTAACTTACCACTAAGTTATAGACACCCCAATCAAAATTGCAACCTTTTACTGCTTAGAGGCAAGCCATGATCTATAATAGTGTTAGTCTAAGGTTCTCTGATCTATAATCAAGATGATTTCATTATCATTGACTTTTGTTCAGGGTCAAGATCAGACTCAATAGGAAGGCCTATAGAATCTAGATATCTAGATTAAGATTCTATATATTCTAGATCTAGAATCCGCTCCCTTCTGAGGGCTTTACCTGTCCAAGACGGAAAATGCTCTGCCCGCTCAGCCATGATTTAAAACAAAACTCGCAAGCTTGGTAAATTGGTTCCGCCGGCACTAAAGTTACGCCATGCTGCTGTGCAAGCAAGGACTGGGAGTGGGTGCAAGATCTAGATCTAGACTAGATTCTAGATCTAGGGGTAGATGTTACCCTATCTATGTGAGCGATGTATATGGTCAGGGTGGTGTGGGTGTGAAATCTCTTGAGTGCCAGTGAAAGTGCTCGTGTAACGAGCCACCACAGGAGCTTTAAACTGGGTAGCCAGAGCCAGAAGCAGGGTGTTCAGCAAGGTCGTACGTAAAGTCGTTAAAAAGTCATAAATTCGGCAGCCTGGTCGTAAATGCAGGGTGACTGCCAGGCCCTTGGAATTTGAGCAAAATCGCAGAGACCGGGGAATAGCACGGGAATTTGAGAAAAATCTATAAGGAAGAGGCTAGCCGTACTTAATGATATGATGGCTAGACTGACCATTTACAAAAAATAGGGCTACTGAATTGTAAATATACATTTTTAGTGTGCAGTACCTAAAGTATTTGTATTTGAGACAAAACCAGGTTCCTTAATGACAGTGCATGTATTTTAAACCTCCTGTTTTCTAATGTAAATAGGGCCTAAGATAAGTATGGCTAGACTGGCAGTCTAGCCATACTTAAGTACGGGTAGACAGCCAGGCTAGCCGTACTTAAGGACGGCTAGACTGTCAGTCTAGCCGTACTTAATATTGATGGCTGAATTGTAAATGAAAATTTTAGTTTGCAATGCCTAAAGTATTTGTATTTCAGACAAAACCAAAAGGTGCCTTACTGACTTGCATGTATTTAAACCTGAATAATTACTAGATCTAGATCTAATGAGACCTGTGTACTTAACAGGCTTGAGTCGATTGGGCCAAACCTAGATCTAAGTACGGCTAGACTGGCAGTGTCTAGCCGTACTTAAGTACGGCTAGCCACTTCGAATCTATAAATTGCCCCGCGAAAGACCAGGGAAAATACCTAAATATGCTCTAGGAGATTTGAAAACCAAATCCGATAAAGTCCTTGGGTTCATTTTTGCCGGTAGTGATTTTGGAATTTATTCCGCTTTTCCCGGTCGGAGAGTATGTTTCAAGCGAACATGCGGCTATGGCGACACAAGCGCATAGCTGCCACCGTTAAATAGCAGAAACTCTGCTTTATCTAGCTTTTCCCGCTACTTTCCTCCGTCCTCCGCTGGACCGCTTTCGGTCGCAAATTGAGATACTTTTTTTTTACACGCAGAAAACACCGAACCGGGAGAGAGACGAAAATGCGGCTTGCGCATGTCCACCCGTAGCTTTCTTTCCATTCTTCTAGGCCTAGCGCTGGTTTCACATTGTTAATTGTGGAGCAACACAGTAGTGTCGATCGGGCATCGGGGCGTTTGCGCGCTGAGTTGTCATTGAAAACGGCGGAAATTCGAGAGAAATTGATGCAGAATGCAAAAATAAAAAAGAGCCGGAATGAGAAGCAGTCGGTGTGCGACTTGAAAAGTTCATTAGAAAATTGAACAAGCCGCTTGCTGCACTTTGCGTTTGGTGTACAATAAAGAAATCGCGGCACTCCAGTACAATTGCGGTCCCGTTTGTTTATATGACGCCTATTGTGGCTGTGGAAGTGAATCTAGATCTAGATAATCTATCTCTAGATGAGCTTTTGCCAAAAGGTGGGGGTGTTTGCTGAAGGACTTTTTAAATCAACCACAACTCATGGTAAAATATGTTTTCTTCTGAAAACTTTATGCACATGGCAAGGAAATAAGTTGGTCAAGCTGCATGAGCAAGTAGATTGATGTGTGCATCTTATATCTCTACATAGAAAGATAATAGTACTAAAAATAGGGCATTTTTTACTCATCCTGAGTGCACACGTAATTGTATGTTAAATACAGAATATTGTTAATCTTAAACTATCAAACAGAAGTGCATTCAAACATTGAAAATAGTTTGTACACACCATCATAACAGCGTGTGTCCATTAAAAGCGTTTTATTTTTTTATATTAATTATGTTATTGCTGAGTAAAATTTATAAGTCCGTTCATAACTCGTGTCATAATTACATCATCAGACTTTCCAAGGTCTAGAAAACCCAAATCGTTAAACATATATCATCAAGGGGAATGACCGGTATTAAACATTGGTTTGACATTGATCTATCAGAAGGGTAATTTTCCGCTCCATCACATGGTTTTGCTTAAATATGACTTTGATTGAGATAATCCAGGTTTGTCATAATGATGTTATGAACAAACACTTTATGATATTTCTGCAAAATATCATGTGAGGGACTTCCCACTGTTTCACAACATCCTTTTACATGGTGGAATGAACATGGAAGAGTACCGTGCTGATGACTCAAAAGAGAAGCGAAGAAGAGGCAAAAATATGCTTGTCATAATGGATTGTCATCATGTTATGAACGTGACAGTGTGTCATAATGGTTATGAACGAAACCTTATTCCATGTAATTTACAGTTGTATTGGGATGTATTTTTAATTTTAACCCAACTTGAGGATGTATTAGACCTTGCTTACATTCTGATATTTTGATTTTTATCATAAGTGTATGGGTCTGGATTTTAATTAGTATTTTACTTTTGTAGTAATGGTTATGAACGAACTACATATTGTACTCTGAGGGCTTTCCAGGGTTGATAAACATTAAAAACATGAACACAGATACATATTATGAGGAAACTTTCATTTAAGATGAAATTTTAAAGTAAATGACAGGTAACTAAATGACAGGTCAAAATATTAATTTTTAGGTCAAAACTGAAGTTTGTCATAATAGTTATGAACGAACAATTAAAGGTATTCTAAGGGTTTTTCAGTGATTAAACTTTGAATTCTTCCAACATATAACCTTATTTTGAGGAGAGTCTCATCAATTAAAACAATTTTAGGTGAATGACAGAAAAATAAGTTAATTTTTTGGGCCCAAAGCAAAATTTGTCATAATAGTTATGAACGAAACAGTGTGTCATAACGGTTATGAACGAAACCTTATTCCATGTAATTTACAGTTGTTTTAGGATGTATTTTTAATTTTAACCCAACTAAAGGACAGAATAGACCTTGCATACATTCTGATATTTTGATTTTTATCATAAGTGTATGGGTGTGGATTTTAATTAGTATTATACTTTTGTAGTAATGGTTATGAACGAACTATTTATAGTCCATTTTATATATTTTGAGGGCTTTTCAGTGTTAACAAACTTCAAAAACATGTACAGAGATACATATTATGAGGAGAGTTTCATTTAATAAAAGTTTTTAAAAATGAATGACAGATCAAAATGAGTAAATTTTTAGGTCAAAATTGAAGTTTGTCATAATTGTTATGAACGAACCATTTTAAAGGTATTCTAAGGGTTTTTCATGAAATAAACTTTGAATTCTCCCTACATAGAGGAATCTATCATATTTTAAGGAAAGTCTTATAAATGAAAACCGTTTTATGTGAAAGACAGAACAATATAAGTAAATTTTAGGGGCAAAAAGTAAAATTTGTCATGATAGTTATGAACGAAACAGTGTGTCATAATGGTTATGAACGAACTTTAAATTTATGCATAATATGCCCTAAGACCAGTTTGCGTTTAAAAATAGCTGTTCAATGGTCTTTCATTTATCACCTGACTATAATTTAGACCAGAGTGTTATTTTAGTCAATTCTAGTCGATGAAACGATATAATTGATAGTATTTTGGTCACTTATTATTCGTTCATAACTATTATGACACAAAAAAGTAATTTTATCAAAAATTAATAAAGATTTTTATAAATAGTCAATTCTATGTAATTTTGGAGGTTATTTGCTATGTCTCAAAATATAACATCAGCCTAGCTGAAGAAAGGAACTTTGAGTATTTCTAAATTTGTGTCATCATTGTTATGAACGAACTTTTTGCTATTTCCGACATTAAAGTCAGAATTACACAAAGACCATTGCATATACAGCTTTGGCAGTTACTGAGCCTGAAAGAGCAATCATTAGGCTATATAATATGGGTGATTAATGAATTATTACATAAAGTTGATTTTGGACCTCATTTGTCACACCCAGGTATCCCACCTTTTGGCAAATGCTCAGATATAATCTAGATCTACACATATTTAAGTATCTAGGTTTTAGATCAAGATTAGATAACTTAGGCTATAATTTTAATTCAGTTTAGACCTCTAAATAAGAAACACGACAAGGGCACTAGGTGCAAACGGGACCTCAATTGTACAGGAGTGCCGAAATCGCTCAGTACAGCGGCAAAGGTCTTGCCTCCTTGATCCAATACTGCTCTACATCAATGTACACCTTTAAATTAAAAGAAATCTTTTTATGAGACACCAGCTGGCAACAAACACTGGATTTTTAGTCACCAAGTCCAAACTGTGTCAAATTGACTCAAATGCTTGTTAGTCAACTTAGTGCCTTTGTTTTTTGTTGTTTTTGTTGTTTTTTTCAAATACATTTTAATTCAGTTGCCCATTGTTAACAAATATGACAGTTTTCCCTTCCAAAACCGTAGGCTAGGTTTTCCAGTATATATTGCCTCTGGATCTCACTTGTTTTACTCCGGCCTTCGGAGAGTGGGCGTACGCCTTCAGGGAATTTCCTCCTTTTTTGAAATCCCTGAGTGCCAGCTATGCAAGCGGAAGTGTATGTGTGGTACCGAAACTCGATCGGGAAAATCAAGATCTGCTTTCGTTTTCTCCCAGAAATTTGCCGGTAGTAGTCTGATAACACAACATTTTTAACCTGCAGGTTTTGCATTACATACGCTGTGTCGCCTAGAAATTAAATCAATATTTGTCGAGTTCTATCACTTGTGAAAAAAAAAGAAAGAAAAGAAAGTTATACAAGTGTCTTGTCGGGCTCGCCATTGTGACCGGTCAGTGAACCTCTGCGTTGGCATCAAATTGTGAGTGCCAGCAATGGTTAGGGTTACCAAAGTTCATTCAAAGTCTAAGCGCTGGCTGCAAAGTATAGGACTCTGAAATAGGGGGATTATTGATTTTTTTTAAAGGTACACTTGGGGGAGGGAAGATGGGATTGAAGGACAACACACGGATGACAAAAACTGAACTTGGAAGCAAATTTTAGTATCCAGAATTTTGATTACTACTTTAGCTCTCTATAACGCGCATTGGTGCAGGCCTTGTGTTGAATCGGGATCTGTCATACTCATACACCTTGTAAGCCGTGTTTTTTAACTAAAGGGTTAATGTTTCATTGGATGGGTGATAGTAAATTACATGTGTTGTATATATATTTATATGGCGGATTTCAGGGTGAGGACCCACAGGTTTCCCACTTTCCCAATTTTGTTGAGGATTTTGAACTTTTTCAAAAGGTTATGTATTTTGTATCAATGGAGAGGTCTTTCAAAGAAAAATTTTTAAAAGTTAGTGAGAGAGACAGCAAAGGCTTGTGAAAAAAGTTATTTAATAAAATGTAACCGTACCTTGGTGCAAACAATCCAATCCATGAATATCACCAAATTCTGTATAAAAAATCAATTTAATTGAATTCACTGCCCACAATAATCATTATGTACACTGCAAATGAAAATAATTAAAAAATATATAAAAATAAACATAAAAAAGGGAATAACTAAAAGAAAAAGAAACAAATAAATCAAATCAGTTGAAAAAATGGCTCACAACGTTGGAACAGCCTATAAGACCACGAAATCATCATCTGCTACGATCTGGACGGCTCAAAAGCTTTATCGGTATCAAACAAGACAATCACAAAGAGAACGCACTATTTTTGTCCCTAACGTCATTTGTTTACTTCCTACACGTGCTGCACTTTGTGTTGCAGTCTTTCAATCCATATAAACATGACAGATAAGCGTGTGTAATTGGGTTGGATTTGTAATGTGTTCCAATGTTGTGGGTTCCACACGTTGTAGTCTTACAAAGAAAAAATCTGAAAAACAAGACAAAACATCCACCTCATCGAAAAGGACGCTAAAGAATGAAAGAAGGGCGCCAAACGGAATAGTTTTTAGCCTCGGCTTTGCGGAAAGCCCTCAGGATTTTCCGTAAATCTCCGAGTAAGTTGTTTGGAGACTCCGCGGGAGGGGTGCGTCACAAAATACTCTCGAATCTACTAAGAATTTCTTCAATTTTCGCAAATTACGGCTAAAACCGATGTAGAAATGAGTATCGCGTATTCTGAACATAAAGACTTCCATTCATTTTGCTTTTGGAAGTAAATTTAGCACTTCACGTAGAGTCAAAATGTAGGACTTAGACCCGCGATTTACGACCACCATTTCGCTCTGTCCGCTGCCGTTTCAAACCGGTGCTACATTTCCTTTTTTTCACTCATCACATTAGAAAAACATACTTCTTGGGTGTTCTATCCATTTTTTTAGAAAATCTAGCATAATATGCCATTTAAAACAAAAATTGTCAGACTCGCGAACATCGGGAAATGCACTAAGTCTAACCTAACGTTCGTGACCCTGTTACGCAAAATATCAAACGAAATAAAGAAAGTCAACATTTTCACATGTTTATTAGGCCTATGAACAATCAAAACAACACAAATTGAACACAAAACAGTACAACAGGAGAATTTTATTTAAAAAATAAACCCTGTGTTGTCTCTCACACCCTTACCGTGAAATTCGCCAAATCTATATTTTAGCTTTCTGTTCAAGATTCGCAGATTTTCAGTGTAACTGCATCTTGCCCACCCATATTTCTTACAACTCTCACACTGAATAGGTTTACTTGAGCCATTCAAGTTATTACTCTACTTTTGAGTTTGAGCAATAATTTTTGTCTTTCACGTTTATAAGTCTTAATATCCAAACTGGTTCTTGACAGTCGATATTCTGATTCTAGGCCTTTTCTCAGGCTCAAAAGAAGATTCATTTTTATTTAGTTTATGTAGGCGAATATAATAAGGGGGAAATGTGAATATTAATGAAGAACAGAATGAAATACCTAAGTCACACAGTACCCCAGTGCCACACTGACATGTTGTTGACTGGATATAATGTACCTACATGCATGTGTGTGAGTGTATAAATGGAGCGCCCGCTGTCTTTGTTATGTAACATGCCCCTGGAAAATGGATGAGCGCCCGCCCCCCCCCCCCCCCCCCCTGGAAAATTGGGACGCCGGGTTGGCAGCCACCCTGTGAATCGTCACCACATTCCGCTTGGCAATTATTTCTTTAGGGGTTTCCCAGGAGCTGGCAAAGCTACAGCGGAATAACCAATAGTTGAAAGACAAATGTTGCACAACTTTCTGGAGAGAAACGGTTAGCACCTGGAGCGTACAATTTAAATAGCCACCGCATTCCCTGAGATTATTTAGCGATATAAATTTGTTTTTCAGTGCTCAAATTGAGAATTTTAAGAAGCTGCAAAGTTTTGCATTGCGTTCAAATTTAGTTCAAATTTGTATATCTTGAAAACATAGGTTCATGTTTGTCATATTCTCCTATAATGTAACTTCCCCTTGGTTGAGTGTCGTTTGTTTCAAATTTTGTTGAAATAAGTCAGAAAAATGTCTGACAGCCTGTATTTGATTTGCTCAGAAAAATATGGCACACGTGGGCGTTCAACTTGCAATTTGCAGGGGTTTGAGTTGGGAGGTTTGGGATTAGGACTATTGATCAGGGTGTTGTTAAAACTATTGGAAAATGTGGTTTTCAAGTCATGACTTTGTTGTGAATTGAGATTGTAGTTTTTTTCAAAGGATTGGGTTTTGAATTTGAAGTATTAATTCCTCTTAATATTTTAGAAGCGTGAAACTTGAACATACAGCTTAGGGGCTGATGGGCAATTTTATTGTTTGTCCTTTACTTTTCTTATTTATGCCACTGTAAATCCTCATTTGCTCCTGACGTCATGAAGCTCAACTAAACTCTCCCTTTTGTGCGGACTACTGATTTTCATTACAAGTTTCTTTGTTTTTTTGCAGGGGCTTTGAGGTCCATTGTCCAGGGTCATGGCACCTTCAAGGTGTTGTCGGTGGTGCCTGCCCGCAATGCCAGCGCACCCTCCAAACAGGATCGCATCGACACCTGGGACTACGTGAACAGTGTGTACTTTGGGCCTGAGCGTGATATGAAGAATTTCCCCCACCCCACACAGCCTGCCCAGCATGAGCCTGTGCGCATGGGGGTCTTGCCAGCCTCTTGGTTCGAATTTTTCTACCCAAAGACTGGTGTCACAGGTATGCCGGTTGCTGTGTAATTCTTGAATTTATAATAATCTGAATCTGTTCTGTCACATTCTATTTTACTAGTTTTCGGGTGAGTATTAAATGTATACGGTGTCAGCTTGAAATACAAGATTCTTAGTGAGATACTTTTAAAGATCTGATTTGTTGAAGACAAAGTATTCACATTTGACTGCAACTGTATATTTTGAAAGTTTTGTAAACAAAAAAACCCAGACTATGTTTGGGGGATGGAATGCACTGATTTGAAGTTAATAGAAAGTTTTTATTTTAATAAAGTTTTATGACACTTGCAACACAATATGGTCATGTAGGTGCCAAAGATTAGAGGTGTGGCAAGGGAGTACCAAACACAACAAAAAATAGGAGAGATATGTACAATGTGACAATGACAATCCTTGTTCATCTTGCAGGGAGAAATTTGCCCTGGTCGTTTACAATGGCAGTAGATTTTATAAAGCTTGGGTGCACTCACGCATACGCATAAAAGACAGATTAGTAAATACATGTCTCTGTCTGTCTGTCTGTCTGTCTCTCTCTCTCTCTCTCTCTCTCTCTCTCTCTCTCTCTCTCTCTCTCTCTCATACACATTTGTGGCACTGTGTGTTCAGTAACCTCACTGCAGTTGGTACGAAAGAATTTCTATATATAGATGTTTGATAGGAAAGAAAGAGCAAATTGCACCTGAGCACCCGCCTTCCACCCACTGATAGAAAGTAGAGGTCAACAAACCTGTTTGAAATCACCACCTGTTGTCAAGGAGAAAAGCTGTGTGAGAGACTGGTGGTCCTTTTAGACAATGTCATTATTATGATTTGGAAAAAAAAACGCAAGGAGGAAGTGATCATTTGTACTGTTGATTGTCTATAGTCTATGACTTGTGGTCATTAGAGCAGGTTCAATTGTACTAGTTTTTAAATGAACAGAGCACTTAGGCGCGATTAAGGCTGGCAGATACTAATTCATGAAATTTGGTTTCCTTAGAGACTTAACTTTTTTGAGCGATAGTTATTGCTAACACCTGTCTTGTTAAAGGACACACCGCGGTGATCCCCCATCAAAAAACCATTGTGGTTGGTGGGTGCTCTGGTGTAGTGAATTCTTTCTTTCTTATCAAAACATGTATTATCCTTATCTTTCCTCCTTTTCTTTGTGTATTATTTCTCGTCACTAGACAAGTGACACCTCTCATCTTTGGCACTCATATGACCTATTTGTTGCAAGTGCCATTAAACTTACAAAAACTAAATTAATGAAAATTTAAAACTCCTTAATTTTATACTATAATTTTAACGTTGGACTTTGTCAGGTCCGTATGTGTTCCTTGGGGGTATGACCCTGTGGATGATGTCCAAGGAGATCATGGTGGTGGACCATTACTTCTGGGAGTTCCCCGCCTTCTGGGCCATGGTCTACTGGGTCAGCACCAGCCCCAAGATGGGACCCAAGCTGAAGCAGTACATCAGTGACAAGATCGAGGTAAGGAGAGCCCTGTGTCTGTTGCTTTGCTATGTTCTTGGGGGTTTTATTTTCAGGTTTAGGGGGGGGGGGAGATTTTTGTATTGTACTTCACATCATGAGGGCAGTGATAGGGTGCCAATGGTGCTTCTCTCCTTCTTCTTCTTCTTTACTCTTACCTCTGTTGTTTCTGTCTATTAGTGTTGCTTTGCCTTCACACTAAAGGGCTGTGATGGTGTCAATGTCCTCTTTTTTATTTACTCAAACACTTGGGGATGACTACATTTGTAGATCATCTCTGTTTCTGGCAACTTCCTTTCCTTTTTACATTTTAACTTTTCAGGGTTGAAAGTGTTCCACGTTAACGAATTTACCCTTTTTTGTCCAATTGAACATGAAGCTCTTACAAATTAAGCACAATATGACAGCGATATTTTTTCCCTGATGTGACTGCTGGTGGGTGCTCTGGTGTGGTTTGCTCCTTTTTTCCTGTCTAACAATTATTGTCCTTATCTCTCCTCCTTTTTTATGCTTGTACTTGTAACACAGGGGTGCTGTGGTGGAATGGTTAGTGCGCTCGTCTCCGAAGCGGAAAGTCTGGGTATGAGCCTTGGCTCGAACACAGACTTTTTTTGCCTCTCCTGCCCACCCAGCAGTAACGAGTACCTGACTTCAAGTTGGGGAAGTAAAGGTGGCGTGGGATGGAAGTGGCCACCCTACCACACTATGCCGAAGGCCCAGGAAGTTGTCACACTAACAAGGCAACACCTCTAAAACTTTAAAACTCATATGACCGTATTGTGTTACAAGTGCCTGTAAAACTCTTACTAAACCCTGAAACTGACATGGCCCTCAGATGCGCAAGAACATCCTGTATGAGCGCCCCTTGGCAAAGATGCGTGATGCAGAGGAGAAGAACATTTCCAACCTGCAGAGGCTCCTGGAGGAGTGCGAGACTGCCAGCTTCGTCAACCAGGCCAAAAAGGTGAGGGAAACGGCTGGGTTTTTTTACTCTCTCCTCTCTCTGGGAGTTGAAATTCTTGTTCTTCTAAAGGCAACCATTTTCGTCCACCATGCTATATTTTCTTTGGATGGACAGGGAGGTTGTCATTCTTGGTTCAACTTGCAAAAGTGGCTTTCATTCTAGACTAGACTGATCGCTAATTTCTATTTGTTTGGTTTTTAAAGATTTACTCCAGAGACATGTGGGCTTAGCTGGCAATGTGCTTTTTTTCTTTTTCCAATACTTGTTTGATTCGTTGTATGTGTTGGTTGTTTGGTTTTTTTACCCGTAGCTTTTTTGGTACCTTTCATGTTCTATGTAGCAGTTGTATTTATTCTGTGATTGTCTTTTTGTACCACAGGAAGGTGTGGAGCTTCAGCTAGAGGCTGCGTACAGACAGAGACTGAACACTGCCTTCCAGGAAGTCAAGAAGAGACTGGTATGTGCAGGGAAATTACGGAAAATTTATTGCATTTCTAATGTCTGGGGGTAGGTTGTCCTTGACGTCTTGTCATTGCCTTTTGTTGTTCAATAATTAATTATTTTTATTTTCTTGTTTGTTTGGTTGGTTGTTGTTGGTTGTGGGGGGGGGGGGGGGGGCGCACTTTTAGCCCATACATCTGTCCTTTCCATTTATCTTTCTGTCTTGCTATTTTTGTCCTGGCCTAGGACCAGTATTAGACTCTCGATCAGATTTCTTCTTATTCTTATTGTCTGTCTTGTCCTGATCTGTTCGTAGAGACACGGTGATCACTATCATGCTTCCTGGTCTGCGTTTCCATATTTTTGGATATTCAGTGCTTCCAATCTTCTGTATTTTTATGGAAATCCATACTTTCTGACAGTTCAGTACTTGCTCCCCCATCATTATCAACTCCATCCGTTAAAAAATGCAATAGTGTAGGACCACAGAGATTCCAGGGCAAAGGATTCATACTCGCTATGGTATCGTCTCGTATAAGTTACGGATATTTACGGTAATTCTGTCGGCAACAGGTTGATGTTATAGGAACCTGCCACACCCAGGAGTATGAGGAAATCTGTGAACTGGTCCGTGAAAATACATAAAGTTCTCGAATATTTGAGAACTAAATTGGATAGGTCAGTAAATTCATTTTTGCCGGTCGCGATCGCGATGTTCGCTTGGCTTTTCCCTGTCCGAGAGTACGTTTCGCGCGAACAGGCGGCTATGGCAGAAAAGATCTACCTTCGCTTTCATTGCCACCCAGAAATTTGCCGGTGATAGTCTGATACAGCTACATCTGTGACATGCAGGTCGTGCATTATTTTAAACGCTGTGTCACCACGCAAATAAATAAATATTTGTCACTTGTAAAGAAAAAAAATACAAGCATCGTCGGATTTTCAGCTTGTCGGGCTTGCCATCGTGACCAGTCAGTGATCTTTCGCGCATTCACATCTCATGCTACAGCACAGCATCGTGCGAGTGTGAGTACCAGCGGTTGTTGGGGTCATCAAAGTTCATTCAAAGTCTGAGCGTTGCGAATATATGACTCTGGAATGGAGGGAACTTTTTTTTTCTTCTTTTTTTTAAGATACAGTAGGGGGTACTGAAGGCAACTTGATAACAGGTTTTAGAATTATGATTAGAGCTATCTGCAAAGCGCGCTTTGGTGCAGGCTTTGTGTGGAATCGGGATCCGCGATACCTTGTAAGCCTTGTTATTGAACTGAAGTGTTCCTGTTTCATTGGTTGGGTGATACTGATAGTAAATTAAGACTATGTTTTAGCTTTTTGTTCCAGAACGGCAGATTTTCAGTGTCACTGCGTCTTGCCCTCCCTCAGTTCTTACAACTCTCACACTGATAGGTCTCCTTAAACCATTCAAGTGATTACTATACTTTTAGTTTGAGCAATAATCTTGATGAGAGAAATAGGTGTTATGGGTTGTTGGTATTCTCTTCAAACAGGCTCCCAAATGCCATTTTTAACCCCCAGGACCCCCCCCCCCCCCCCCCCCAGCTGAATTTTCCTTACTTTTCATCTTCGGCTGTTGGGTGCACTGGATATTGTTGATATGTAAATAGTTTTTTTCAGCCTCTATTCGAGCTTTCCATGTGTGGTTGAACAGAGCTGATGGATTATCTTACTTCTTTACACTAGTAGTACTTAGTTGCTTTTTGTTTGCTCTGCTGATGATTGGGGGGGGGAGGGATGCTTCTTCTTCACCTTCGCCTCTGTTTGTTTTCTGCCCTGCTTTTTCTAAGCCCTCAATCACATTTATTGTGGCAATATACATGTATATCAATGTAACTCTGATTCGACAGACAATTTTTACACTAAAACCTTTCATTATCATGCCCCAGGACTATGAGGTAGAGATAACCAACGTGAAGAGGAAGTTTGAGCAGGATCACATGGTGAACTGGATTGTGAGCAGCGTCACCAAGAGCATCACCCCACAACAGGTACTGTAATAACCAAACTGTTATGTGAGGTGTGCTGACAAAGTGAGTTACTTCTTGCAATCCACGAATGGAGATAATGGCCCAAAAATGGCGCAGCGGTCAAATTTGAAACTTTTCTGAACTTTTAAAGTTTGACATCATGTCTATTATCATTTCTTACTTATAAGTCGTTCAACTTCTACTTATAAATTTGACCCATCTGTGTTCAAAGGGCGAAAATTGAAAAAGTAACTCGTTTTGTCAGCATGCTTCTCATACATTTATTCCAGAAAATTATGGTGTCAGGTTTGAATTCAGAAGTCGGCCAGTGTTTCCAGGCGTGACCCTTTTTTCTTTTTTTTTTCTTTTTTTCTTTCTTTTTTTTTTTCTTTTTTTCTTTCTTTTTTTTTGTTAACTGGCCGATCAAGGATAGTCCACCCTTTAGCTCTTTTGTTCTTATCTCCTTCATTCTCACCTTCTCAAGCAATTGAATAATTGTCATGTCAGATTTCTTGTTCTAATAAGGCACTGGCTCGTCATCCATTTCATCCTCTCTTTCATTGATAATTTAGCTCTCCATTGTGTTCGTTTGCCATCACTATATGGTAGGTTTTGGTTGAAGCTCGATTCTTATTTTTCAAAATGTTTAGATTTTTTGTATAAAAAGGCACCAGGGTCCAACGCCCCTTACTCGCTCTTTTGTAAGATACTGACAGAAAGTGAAAGATATTACCAAACAGAAAGTCTCTGTAAAATTGTTAATCAAACAAGGTCTCCTTTATAATTGGTCAGGAAAAAACGAACTCAGAAGAGAATGTGAAACTACCAAGAGGTAGGGACGATGATGACTAATGAGCAGTTTTGCTGAGATTGACTTTGCACCCATTTCTAGTCTGATGTTTTGTTTGGTTTTACTTTCTAAATCAAATTTTGATATAAATGATTTATTTTCATTTTTTCGATTTTTTGGGGGTTTTTATTTTAAAACTGAATATCTCATAGCAACAGTATATATATTGTCTGCACACTTTGTGGCTCTGATGGTGGTTAGCGTATTGTGGGGGTAGAAATAATGGACCCACGGGTTTAAGTTAGTTGCACATTACCAATCTGTCGTAGTTTAATAACATAGTAAAGGTGTTCGGTTTTACATCTTGTTAGACCTGTCAAAATAACCTTGAACCACCATATAAGCATGAATTATTATTTTTTTTATGTTGAGATTTTTTTCGTTAAGAAGAGTGTGTACCGAAAATGTTTGTCAGATAGAAATCCTTCTGTGACTGCAATGCCCTGTCATTTGTATCGCAATTTCTTCATCGGGTAGTGTGTGGTCGGTTTGCGGTCTAGTTTAGTCTGTTCCTTCGTCATTATTTGTATTTTTTGTTTGTTTGTTGTTGGATATTTTTGGTGTTATTTGGAGGGGTTTTCTTGTTTGTTTTTTCTTGCCTAATAATATAGACATCTGATCTGTTTCCTTGCTTTCTTTTTTTTAAATGGCAAATGTTTCTTTTCCCTCCATAGGAAAAGGAGAGCATCCAGAGCTGTATACAGACCCTCAAGCAATTGGCCAGCAAACAGACAGCTGCTGCGTGAGCTGCGCACTGTTTTAGGTTGCTGTTCAATTAGGGAATTGTATATTTGTCTCTGTGCTGGCATAGAAGGTTTCAGCATTTTCGGAGTAGATACTCGGTTCATACTGAATATTGAAAGTACTGAAAAGTAGAGAAAAAAATTAAACAAAGAATTACTTATGAAGCCCCGCGGCCCTGTCATGTCTTTGTGATAATGCAAAACGCTGAAGCCTTTTTCTTTACATCCAAGGGAAAAAAGAACGCCGGTTTTGTTTGTTCTTTCAAGGGGTTGAGAGCATGAGTCTTGTAGCTCTTTGAAGTTTTGTCCTAACTATGAAGTACTATCTTGACACTAAATGTTTGTCTGACGAAACAGAATCCATTTTTTACTTCAAATTTGTTCTGTTTGTAAGGATTCTTGGCTCGAGTTGAAGACATTTTTCATTTTTAAAATTTGAGCTGTAGGGTTGGGGGTTTTTTCCCTCTTTTGTGTGTGTGGGGAGATTGTCTGAGCAGACTTTTGCACTCTAGTGAGAGCTTAGGTCTGCTTTAGAGATTTGCTTGATGTGAAGAGCATATTTGGAAGTTAATTGCGTAGTCCTGTGATGTCCACAAGTTACTGAAATAAATACTGTTTTTATGTAATACAACCTTTGTTTTCTGGTTTGATTTCATGTGCTCTCTATTTTTAGTTTTTAGATGGGTGGTTGACAGGTGCTGTGGTTTAGTTTGCTTCTTCTTTCCTATCAAACTATTGTCCTTTTCTTCCCTCCTTTTTTATATTTGTTACTCTCTTGTGACACCTAGAATCTTCTGGTGCTCATATGACCTTTTGCAGTTGCGAGGGCCGTAATACCTCTACTAAAATAAACATCTGTCGTCCTTATTTCTCTTTTTTGTGTACGTTACTGTCTTGTAACTCCTCTAATCTTTATCTTCGGCACGTACATGACCTGATTGTGTTGTAAGTGCCCTAAAACGCTTACTAAATCTAATTAGTTTTTGGTGAAACTCTACATGTTGTTCCCATTTCCCCCCTTCTGCCAGAATGACAGAGAGGGTGTTGTTTTCACCTCCCCTAATTAAATACTGGTCAACTGAAAGACAGATATTATGATGAAATTCCTTTCTTTGCTAGAATTCAACACTTGAAGGTGTATTTTGAAATCGAGGTTTAATTTGTGCATAGTTTTGGTACATGTACTTTAAAAGTGCTGTAGTGTGGTTTGCTTCTTCTTTCCTATCAAACATCTGTCCCCCTCATCTCTCCTCCTTTTTTGTGTTTGTTACTCTCCTGTAACACTTCTAATCTTTGGCACTTATATGACCTTATTGTGTTGCAAGTGTCGTAAATCACTTACTAAACTAAAACTATTTTAAAAAACACACTGCCATCCACCTACTGCCTGAGATGTACTGTCCCTTATTTAAGTAATGTAAATTTGTCCCGTCATCATACGGCCAGTGAACTGACACTGCGCACAACACCAACTGGTCAGCTACTTGATGGTTATCTTCATCTTTCTCCCATGAGAAAGACATAGAGGGAGAAGTCTCGACTCTGAATACATCTACATCACCAACAAAAATACACTTTCCAAACCCAGATCACACAACAGAATCATGGGTGGTTGGCAGGTGCTCTGGTGTGGTTTGCTTCCTCTTTCCTATCAAACATGCATCGTCCTTATCTCCCCTTCTTTTTTATGTTTGTTACTCTCTTGTAACACTTCTAATCTTCTGGCGCTCATATGACTTTATGCAGTTGCGAGCGCCGTAAAACCTACAAAACAAAACACAGCAGAATCACATCGTTTGAAGTTGGGCAGTCGGGGCTTAGAAGTAGAAGTGTTTATTTTCTCAACTCTTTTATTTATCCCCTCCAGTGAAAGACTGATGGGACTTCACAGGAGCCCCCTTGGCCAGTCAGGTCATTTGTGCTATCCAATTGAGAATAAACCACCAAAACTACAACATTGCAACCTGTTGTGCATGTGTAACTATTTTTCACAATACCATCACATGTCATCAGCAAGCTGTTCAACTGTTCTACCTTTTAAACCCAAACAGCACAATTTTTCAGAGGAGAGAGAAGAAAGCTTTCATTCCTTTTCAAATGTATATCTAAATTTATGTAAAGGTTAAAGTCAGGCTTGGACAACTTCAAAATGTCAAGTGTCAAGGTTTGACAAATATGTTTGATACATCCCTAATTTGTAGTAATCGATAAAAAATGGCAAATTGTACAAGCCAGCTCACTGCGATTTCAAGTTTTCCATGTTCATGTTATCTGTACCCGATTGTACTTTCTTTTTTTTTTTCCTTTTTCCAACTTAAAAATTTGAATTTTGACAAAACTTTTAAGGAGCACTATCTGACATTGTGTCCTTGGGGGAAAGGCACTTTAGTTTACTTTACAAGAATGTTGACATTTGGCTCAGCCCTATCAGTATCAGACTGGTGTTGAAATTTGGACGTCCCGCCTCTTAATACATTGTAATCTAAACGTTGCAAGAAGAGGCGTTCAAGTTAAAACGATACAATTTCACACATTTTCCACGACATGCAAAAGTACAGCACGCAGAAATAACACCAGGAATGATCATAAGAGCAAATTATAACCTGTTTATACGTGACGTATGTTCTTCCAGATTTGTATAGATGGGTTAAGGGAGGCAACAATTGAAAATGTTTCAGTTACATTGTGCATGTGTACTTTTATTAATATTATTAAGAATACATGTATAAAGATGAAATGGAAATTGATCAACGCATAAATTTTTAGCTTTATTTCAAGGGTCTATTTGGAACAATAGATTTCACAAGAGCAAGGCACTGGGACTGCAGAAGTCTTTGCTTACTAGAACACAAATTTACAATGTAATACACAAATACAATGGCATGTATGTAGAAATCATAATAGCTATCATGTCCATTTCAAATCAAATTGAGCTGCCTGTAACTGTAACACTTTGTTCTGGTCCTAGAGTGAGTGGTAAAGAAGAGGAAATGACTGTGAATTACAAAATAATGACTTTTAAGTTAATCGCATATTTTCTTCTTCTTCTTCTTCTTCTTCTCCTTCTTCTTCTTCTTCTTCTTCTTCTTCTTCTTCTTCTTCTTCTTCTTCTTCTTCTTCTTCTTCTTCTTCTT